GGATATGGCTCCGTGGCTGGAGGAGTTTCCCCAAGCCTGGGCAGAGACTGGAGGAATTGGACTGGCGAAACACTGACCGCCCATCATTGTGGACTTAAAACCCTCTGCCATCCCAGTAAGAGTCTGACAGTATCCCATGCCCAGGGAAGCCTGGGAAGGCATACAACCCCATATCCAGCAGCTGTTACGGGAAGGGGTACTAAAGAGGTGCCGGTCTGCATGGACTACACCTCTCCTACCAGTAAAGAAACCAGGGGGACAATACCTACCAGTACAGGATCTGAGAGAGGTAAATCGCCAGGTTGAAGACATGTATCCCACAGTCCCTAACCCCTACACGCTGCTCAGCAATCTTCCTCCAGATCATGTGTGATATACTACCTTGGACTTGAAGGATGCTTTCTTTAGCCTGCCCCTATCCCCGCAGAGCCAAGACATTTTTGCCTTCAAATGGTCTGACAAAACGGATAGTCCTCAGCCAGCTGACCTGGACCAGATTAGTCTAAGGATTTAAGAACTCGCCCACTTTGTTCAATGAGGCCTTGAGTGACGACTTACGTGAGTACTGGGGTCAAAACCCGCAAGTAACTTTACTACAATATGTGGATGACTTGTTAATAGCAGCCCCTGACCGGGCAGGGTGCCTTGAAGCAACCAGGAAACTGCTCACCACTCTGGGAGAGCTGGGATATTGAGCTAGTGCCAAGAAAGCTCAGATAGCTAAGCCAGAAGTCACATACTTGGGGTATGAGTTGAGAGCTGGGCAGAGGTGGCTCACTGAAGCCATGAAACAGATTATCCTACAGATTCCCCGACCCACAAGCCCAAGGCAGATAAGAGAATTTTTAGGAACAGTAGGTTATTGCCGTCTGTGGATTCTAGACTTCGCCACAAAAGCGAAGTCACTCTATGAGCTCAGTAGAGAAGGGTCGAAGTGGAACTGGACTCCAGAGAGGGACTCAGCTTTTAAAGAACTTAAGGAAGCAGTCCTTGAGGCCCCAGCATTGACATTGCCTGACCCCACTAAACCATTTCATCTGTTTGTCGATGAGCAAAAAGGAATAGCCAAGGGGGTCCTAATACAACAACAGGGGCCATGGAAGAGGCCAGTAGCATACCTCTCAAAGAAACTGGATCTAGTAGCAGCAGGATGGCCCCCCTGCTTGAGAATTATTGCTGCCACCGCTCTGCTAGTTAAAGATGCAGATAAGTTAACCCATGGATAGACTTTGAAAGTAACCACTCCCCATGCCATCGAAGGAGTGCTCAAACAGCCTCCGGGGAAATGGATAACCAACGCCAGATTAACTCACTATCAGAGCCTATTACTTGACACTCCAAGGGCACAATTCTTAGCCCCAATGGTTTTAAACCCCGCCACCCTGCTACCTAACCCCGACCTAGATAAACCTCTGCACAACTGCTCAGAAATACTCGCAGAGGTAAATACAGTCAGAAAGGACTTGCAAGACTGCCCGTTGGAGAACAGTGACCTCATCTGGTTCATGGATGGAAGCAGTTTTGTACAGGATGGACTAAGGTATGTGGGGGCCACGGTGGTGGACAACCAGGAAGAAATTATTTGGGCCGACGCTTTACCGCCAGGAACTTCCACTCAGAAAGCTGAACTTATCACCCTGGCAGAAGCATTGGAAAGGGCAGAGGGGAAGAAGCTAACGATGTATACTGACAGCCACTACGCGTATGCGGCTCTTCATATACATGGAGCCATCTACCGGGAGCGTGGGTTCAGAACCACAAAAGGAAGAGAAATAAAGAACCAGACAGAAATCCTCCGCTTACTGTCAGCTGTGACCCGGCCGCGAATGGTAGCGGTGGTTCACATCCTGGGACATCAGAAGGGACACTCCCCTGAAG